CAAAACACTGGATTAAGTTGTTGAAACACTAGAAAGTGAGTTTAGCTTTCATTTTATTTTCTTAAAATGCAGGGTTTGTATTTGAAGAAATTTGGGGCTAATAAATAGGGAGTGCTTTAAATGGGCAGTTGTTTGCACATTATACCCCCCCCCCCCCCATTATTGTTTCATAAATATAAGACATCAAGGATTCTACAGATATTTTCTGGTTGTCTTGAGATGGTGTAACTACTGAAGTTTTACTGTTAAATCAAGCATTATCAAACGTTTATCTGTTACTTGTTATCTTTGTAGTAATTCTTTGGTGCTATGTTCTATGGGCTTACAGAATGCAGAATTTTAGTGTGTACTATGTTAGGCACCAATGTTGTCAACAGTTATCATTACTTAGTGCCCAAGTGTATCAGACAGCAATGTTGAAATGTTACGGATTAAGAAATTTCTTTTTAAAAGCTGCAAATAAGTTTGGGGTTTCTTTATTGTTTGTGGTTGTGTTGGGTCCTTCCATGTCCACATCCCTCCCCAGACAGCTGCTGTGGAAAATCTTGGAAAATATTACACAAAGGGGGTATTTTTAAGTCAATCTTTTTTTAAAACTGTAGAACTTCCTCTTCTTCTTCTTTTTTTTTTTTTTTTTTTTATTTTTTATTTTTTAAGTTGTTTTTAATTTCCTTTTTTTTTTCCTGGAATATAAAACGTAGTTCTAGTGGGATATAGGGAAAAGGTAGCTGGCAACAAAAATACAATGTCAGGCTTGGTTGCTTCAATGCTCTTGCAATATAGTTACTACAGATTACATAAAAACGGTTTATTTTATTAGCTTCCAAATAATGTATATATAAATTTGTTAATGGCTTACAAGTCAAGCTTACTCACTTTGCTTTTTAAAAAATAGTTATAGGCATGTTGTATTTGCCTTGTGTAAATTATAAAAGGCTATTTATTAAGTTTTCTGATAACTAATCTATTTATTAACCTGTATTGTTTTAAAATAAATGATTTATTTCTAGCTCAATGCTTGTTTTGTGACTCGTTTTTAGCAAATGGGGTCAGGGGGAAATCAAGTTTCCTACACACTGCTTTACAGTGTGCCAATTCATGAGCCTAAACTATTTCCATTACCCTTCCATAAAATAGCAGCTTTACTTTTAATCAGAATAGCAGGTTCTTGCATAGGTACAGATCAGTTGGCCTACAAAGGGCTCAGTTGTCCTATACCAGTATCTACCAGCAGGCTGCAGTCTTAATGACTTCATTGCACTGAAGTTTGCTCACAGGTGGAATGAAGACTTCTCTGGCAGAAATGTTTGCTGGGGCTTGAGTCACTTCACACTGTGTATTCAGGCTCAATGCTCAGTTCCTGCACTGCTGTACATTGGTTACTTACTAGAGCTACTGTTTCAAGATTTACTGCTCCACAGTTGGGTGTGCATTGAGTGGCAACAGCTGTAAAGAAATCTGTGTCACCAGTCTAATTTACTGTCTGTCATAATAGCTCTCTGTAGAAAGAATTGCTTGGAAAATTACAGTGACTGCCCATCTCATCCTTCATCTGAAATTCCTAGATCCTCATATCAGGTACTGGCAAATATATAACTCTGTGTGTATGTGTGTGTGTGTGTGTATTAGATTTTGGTTAGCTGGGTTTTTTAATGGTGGGATTTATGACTAAGAACTGCTTCACTCTGTGCATTTGTGTTTTAGAGGATGAATTGATATTATTGCCAGTCAAAATTCAAAATTATCTTTAAACAAGGAAACTAGCTCCTTAATAATATTAAATGCATGCAGTAGAAAAGATGGGTATGGATTTCTTATTGCAATTTTGTTTTTAAAGGTCTTGATGATACTTATGCAATGTACAAAGATAGACCAAAAACCTTGAAAAGTTTTCACTTCTGCATGCAGCATCTCTGACTTTTAAGTAGGTAGGATAAGGAGTCTGTGTGTTGTTAGCAAGAAAATTCAACTATCTGTTCTTGTCTTGTTCATCTCAGGACCTAGGCCTCTAAGGCAGCAGCATTATGGTAAAAGCAAATATACCATTTACACCACTGGTACTGTTGAAAGTCTGGGACGTAATCAATCCTAAGCATATTTATTTCAGCAATGCAGTTCATATTGGAAGCGCTTTAAAGACAAAAATCTCATTGTGTCAAAAGAAAAAATATTCCTGTTGATTTCATGAAGTTTGTTCTACAAATTTAGGTCTTAAGCAGAGTCCCTTAAGTTCCTTGTGACACTGTAGATATTGTACAAGTAGACTCACAGATGTGGTTTCTTTGTTCTGCTCAGCTGTCTTCACAAAACAGCATGGAAGTGGTTACCAGGGACCCTGTATAGAGCTTCCTGAGGTTGTACAGGTGTATTTTTGCTCTTTTCCTTTTTTTAACTTTACTAGATGTTTATACACATAGTAGATACTAAGCCCTAAAAAATCCTGTCCATAGCCATGCAAAAGGACCTACATTGACTGCTCTCATGAAATTCCTTGGGCACAAGGATGGTTTGTGCACCTGAATTGCCCTATGAGAATGGGTTAAATTAGGCAGATTACCACCATTCTCATGCTTGGAGTTCTTGCCAGATACTCAGCAAACATGCCTGAAATGTGCTGTTGTAAATTAGTCTGAGATGGTTTGAGTATTTTCTGTTACTGAGCACAACCTTTGGCTTTGAAATAAATATTTCATGTGCCAAATTTTGTGCCAAAATGAAAGCACTTGAATTTGTACTTTGAACAGATGTATGCCTATGTATGTTAAGCAGAACTAGCAGCTGAAAAAACACAAGAGAGGGGATTAACAGAACAACTGAAGTTCCACGAACATCTAAAATGCTTAGAGGAGTCCAGTTAATATTTTCAGGTATTTATTCATAATAGTTTTAGCTTGGTTGAGAGGTATTTTTGAAAAAAGGAGAGCAGAGGGAGACAAGAGTGGAAAGGGAAGACTAGATTGACTTGCTGCAGACATTGCTCTTAACTCAGGAATATGTATACATACACATTATCAGCATTTGGCATGATCACAGGCATATGAAGTTCTTTAGCTCCTTTAAACTTTGAACCTAGCTATCAGTACTTAGATGCTTCTGTTTATACTGTACTGGTTTAGGTGGTACAGGTTTTATTTTTTTAATCCATTGGAGAAACCATTTTCACCAGCTGTTAACTTTTTCAAAGACTTGACAATTTTGGTATCTTTTGGTAAAACACAGAAAAAGCCAGTGTCCTGCTGTGTCATTACTTAGGTAATGAATTTAAATTGCTTAGCAGTTTTTTTATCTTAAAGTATGTTTTTTATACACACACAAACACATATAATACTATTTTGTAAGTGCAAAGTTTATGTCAAGGATACTAGATTAGTTTTACGTTGGGGAATGGAATGTTGTCTTAGAGAATAAAATAGGCCTAACATCAATGTGCTTTGAGTGGTGTTGAAATTTAGTTTTGTGATAGAGTGAGGAACCATTTTTAATGAGATAAAACACAGCAGATAATGTGGAGTAGCTTTGTTACGGGTATCCCACAAGAGAAAGCCAACACTGGTTTGTTTCCAGGTGTAATAAAAATGAAGCAGCTGCTTGTGCAGACTGGGATAATGTCAACACAAATCTTAAGACTAAAAAATAGGAACTGCTGTCACTAAGGGATGTGACAAAACTGTTTTTAGCTTAAAGAGGCAGAGCTGCATCTTCGATATGGAGGTATTATATCACAGGTATTGTGGCAGTGTTGGTTGATCAGAATTAATGTTAAAAGGCAGCTGTGTAAAACATACTCAGACAGTCCTGAAGAAACCAAAGAAACCTTTGAGCCTGACGCTTGTTATGACTGTTTCAAAGACTCCTTGCTGTGTGCAGAGGACAAATATTTGTGTAACTGTATTTATCCATTTACTTTGTATGAGATTAAAGCAGTTTGTGTAAACCACACGCTGAGAGTGGGTGACCTGGATTAAATCGATTCATTAACCATTCCCTTTAGCTGCCCCAGTAAAATGTCTCTCTCCCTTACGGCCAAACAGCTTGTGTTTATTTCAACCTGCAAAAGAGGAGGCTTCGGGGTGACCTAATTGCAGCCTTACAGTACCTGAAGGAAACTTACAGGAAAGATGGGACAAGACTATTTACATAGTGACGGAGCAGGAGGGAATGGTATCCGAGTGAGAGAGGGTATGTTTTAGATTAGATATTAGGAAAAATTCCGTACTGTGAGGGTGAGGAGGAGCTGAAAACAGGTTCCCCAGAGCAGTTGTGGATGTCTCATGTCTGGAAGTGGTCAAGGTCAGGCTGGATGGGGCTTTGAGCGAGCTGGTCTAGTCGAAGGTGTCCCTGTCCACGGCAAGATGGGTTGAAATGGCATGATCTTCAAGGTCCCCTTGCGGCCCAAACCATTCGGAGATCCTGCGATTTTCTGTGGGTGTAAAATCAGCGCGGGGCAGATGGCGGCAATGTCTCACCCCGGCTGCAGGGCGGCTGTAGCGAGCATCCCGAGCGTGCCGGGAGCCGGCCCCGCCAATGCCGCCCGCCCGGGGCAGGCGGGGCTGCGGGAAGGGGACTGTGCCCCGCGGCGGGCGGGGCTCGGGGCCGGGCCGCGCCCCTTCCGGCGGCCGCTGCCGGAACCGCGGAGCGGAGGGGGCGGACGGGTCCGGGACACCGCCTGGCCGTGCGCTGCAGCTGCCGGTCCCGTCCTGTCCCGTCCCGTCTCCTCATGGCGCTGGAGCGGACGGGCACCGGCCCCTCCCGCCGCCCGCTCCGGCCTCCCCCGCCCCCGTCTCCTCTCGGTTCGCCGCTCCCGGCGGGGATGTGAGAAGGGCCGTGGCCGCAGGTAACGGCGGGGAGAGGCGGGGAGGGGGCCTGGCCGGCCCCTCGGGGGCGGGGGAAGGCGGGGCCGCTTCCCGCGGAGCGCTCGGCGCAGGGCCCTGGGTGCCGGGCGCTGCCGGTGAGGAGCGGGCGGGCCGGGGGTCGCTGGGCGCGGGGCTCCGGGCCTTGAGCCTGGCTATACGAGCCCAGGGGTGGTTTCTCCGCAGTAGGAAACCTGTGGTTTGGTCTGAGAAGGCCGAGACGAAAAGCTCTAAATTGGGCTGTTTGCGGGGTTCTCCCACCGGGCAGAGGTCTCCAGGTACAGTGTTCTGGGTCTGCCCGTGCTCCGGAGCCGCTGTGGCCCGTGTTGGCGTGTGCGGGTGGTTAACCAGGAAGCTAAACCGGTTCATCTTCCTTTGGTTCACGGCTGATTATCCGAGGTCGAGGCTTGTGCAGTTTGGTTCCAGAGCACCTTCGGCAGAAACTCAGCGCCCTGGTGCATCACTTTGACGTAGAAAAAGTAATCGTAGCTTTACATTGTAGTTCATTGTAGTCTTAAACTGACCAGAGGAGGTTTAGGTTGGACATCAGGAGGATTTCTTCACAGACAGGGTGAGCAGATGTTGGAATGGGCTGACCAGGGAGGTGCCTGGTGGAGTCACTATCCTCGGAGCTGTTTAAGAAAAGACTGGACGTGGCACTCAGTGACAAGGTGGTGGTTGGGTCATAGGTGTGACTCCATCGCACATGTCTTTTCCAGCCTAGTTGATTCTGTGATTCAGAGTGAAGATTTTTGTTCGTTCATACACTTGTGAAGATGTTGCTTGGATTAACTACTTTGTCCCTGTTTTTTCCCTCCATTTTTTTTCTCTATTCCACTACAATGTCTTTAACATTGTACTGAAAACATGATGAATGTAAGTCATTGTGGTTCTATCTTAATGCCTTAGATGTGCCTCATTGTATACAGTTAGGGTTTTTCCCCCAGAAGGTAACAGCTTCTCACTGACAGAAAATTACTCCATAAGGTTGCGTTGGTATCGTATTTAGAATTCAGTCACACTAGTTCTGCTTTTGTTAAAGCGCTTAATTCTCGTGTTAAAATCCTGGTGACAAGAAGGCAGGTTATAACATGTTATTAGTCATGTCACAGGAGTAGCTGTGACTAATGTCCGGATTGGACTTTAACTTCCTGAATTACCTTAGATTTGAAACCGCCCATATTAAATACCAAAGGTGGAACTTCAGTGACCCTGTCCTGGTTATTCCTCCCATGAGAGTGGAGGTACAGCAAAGATGAGGCAAGTCTTATCTTGAATCTATTTTGATAGCTTTCCATGAAAACAGTCAATGCAGTATCAGTTACAAAGCACTGTCTGTAGTTTGTGTTCAGTTAATGAATAGCACTGTTTTAGTGAAGATACTTTTTAGCTCTATGTGAAAGTGCTTTAATTAAAGGTCATTTTGTAATAGAATAACTACAAGTAGCTCATGCGAAGAATAGGTTTTTAATGTGGCATTTTTTATTTCCTCCTAGGTTCATAAAATCGACTGCTTGTTGCTTCTGCTTTATAAATAGAAATCTGCTGTAAAGAATTTTCCCCATAGTTTATCTAAACCTTTTCAAATAGACAGCTTTAGGATAGTTAGGGTGCTTTCTGAGCACCGATAGTGCCTCTAACATTATATAGATGCATATATGTAACATGAATATGATTTTAGCTCGCCTATGTGTAATATGTAAATAATTATGTGTATAAGTTTGGGCAGTCTTTAACTTTGACAAAGATGGAAAACTATCCTATATTGGATGCACAGTACGAAATTGAATGTATTGTTTCCTAAACAGAATCTGTAGGTACTGTATGCATCCATCTTGGCCTTTTAAAGGTGCACATGACTAAGGTTTGAACTCTTTTATCATAATACTCTGTTGTGTCTGTCCTTCAGTGTTCTCTCTACCTGTGTAAAAGATACGTTTGTGATTGTATGGAACGTGGCGGAGGAAGGCTTGGATTTCATAATTAGGTATATTTGGGGGGGTTTTAGTAATCTTACTAAGAATATTTCTGTGTTCATACTCCCCGCTGCCCCAGTCTAAAGGAGGGCTGCAAAGGTGGTGCAGGGGGGTATAGAGGGGAAGATGTATGAGGAGCAACTGAGGGCACTTGGTCTGTTCAGCCTGGAGAAGAGGAGACTGAGAGGAGACCTCATCATGGTCTTCAGCTTCCTGATGAGGGGAGGCAGAGGGGCAGGCACTGATCTCTTCTCTCTGATGACCAGTGACAGGACCCAAGGGAATGGCCTGAAGCTATGTCAGGGTATTAGGAAAATATTCCTCACCCAGTGGGTGATTGGGCACTGGAATAGGCTCCCCAGGGCAGTGGGTCACAGCACCAGCCTGACAGAGTTTAAACCTGTGTGTGTTCAGGCACATGGTGGGTTTCTTGGGGCTGTCCTGTACAGGGCCAGGAGCTGGACCTGAGCATCCTTGTGGGTTCTTCAGTATATTCTGTGATTCTATATAAACATCCTCTGAAAACACACCATACCAAAGTCAATAATTAAAACTTGTTATTAGTTATCTTGCAATAAAAGTGCCTTAACACTTTAATTACAGAATGAAGCTGAAAGAATTAGGAAAGTATTTCAGTTCAACTTTAATACGGTACCTTCTAAAGAATAGCTTAGATCACAGGTTAGTTTCTTTGATTTGTGAAATGCAAAGCGAAGGGATGAAATGACTACAGCTTCAGGCAAGAAGGAAGATCAAATCTAAAATCACACTGATTTGTTATTCAAGTGTTTCTAAAACTAAAATCCTCTTCCTTTTTAAAACATAGATGGAGATTGTAAAGTCTTGTGTGTCATGCATGAAAATTAAGTTGACTTGAAATAATGGACATATTTTTTTTTGCCAAATTCTTAACATGCCAATTAATGTTATTTTTAACTTCTGTTTTAGAAACCTAACTTTGAAATACTTACGAAGTGAATGCCTCTGGATTTTGGAACAAAACTGGTATGTATAACGAGCCTTCTACAGGCTCATCACCAAACGTTTGGATTTCTGTTTTGTTAGGAATGTTTGTGTCATGTAGTTTTGTGCTTGTGGTTAGGAAGAAGGAACCACATAACGGCCAACATGACACATAACAGTCAATGCGTATTTGTTAAAGCAACTTGTTGATTCAACCCCCTTTTGTTCCATGACAAGCTTTATGGCTAGAAGAGCATTAAATAGGTGCTTAATTCCAATGTTAGAAACATAAAACTTCTCATGGAGCTCTTGTAAATAAGCAGAATTGACAGTAAAATACCACAAACAGTTCAAAAGATGCAGAATGGCTGTACCTGCAGTACTATTGTCTTGCCAAAGCAGACTTTTGTTTAAAAGTCTTCCATTATGTCTGAATCGTTGGCTGTTTAATGTTATTGATCTTGCTCAAAAGACAAAAGAAATAATCAATAACATTGGGCAGGGAAAGATTGCCGGTGTGTAACCTTGGTTGAATGTTTTCAGGAAACATTTCTAAAAAAAGAGATGCTTTTAATAGGAGTAAATGAAAGATACTACACTCAGGCAGGAATAATTTGCTATACAAGTGCAGGAGGTTATACTAATAGAGAAGCTGAAAATGAGTCAACAATGAGGTTACTGCAAAAAAAGGCTAAAAACCCACCTGGTCTGGATGTTTAAAAAGAAATATGGTCTACCACTGTATTGCAGAAATGGTAATAACTCAAGCTAAAATACTGTATGCAGCTTTGGAAATTGCACTTAAAAAAAGCTTTTGGGAAAAGACCCAGAAGGTGGCACAGCAGGAGGTGCCAAACACCTAACCTGCAGGGGAATGTTGATATGTGGATGCAAAGATAAAGGGACTTGAATCTTTTTCCAGCAACGGGATTTGGTAGTGAAAGTAAAGCTGATCAGATAATGAGAGATGCTCATGGCATCATGTTTGTGAAGTTTCCTTTGCAAGTATTTAGTGGGAGAAGCTTGGCTGAATTATCTATAATGAGGAGCAGCAGTGAATTATGTAGTACATGGCAAAGGGTTGAAGTAAATGGCCTGTAAAGGACATTTTTTTGCTTAATGGCATCATCCTGATCATAGTTGAAAAGAACAGGTTTTAGAAAAGATTCTTGAATTTAAATTATTTAGCGTATATTTAGAATATTTCTTGTAAGTCTTTTAACACTGTCTGCTGAACTCTAGAGGTCTTGTGGCCAAGTAAGCAAAGTTGGAACAATGTACCATGTCTGCCTTTCCCAGCTCTAGTTATTGCTTCCATACAACATACAGCTCGTGGAAGTGATACTCATTTTCTTTAACTGGTAACTTATTCTTACTTATGCTCATCTGCTTTTAAATGTAAAATATTATTTCTTCTCATTGCACCACTTTTAATGTTTCTGAATATTTAGAGAGCTCACTTCCTGCAATAATTGTAACATCTTTTGAGCCCTGTGTTTGTGCTGCTTTTGAGAGAAAAAGACTTCTGAGCAAAGAGGTGAAGAAGTTTTATCCCGTGTTTTAGACCAGAGAGTCTGTATCTTGCTAGCATTTGTGATACATTTGGTTACATCTTGAAAATAAGCAAAAAACCTTCATGGCTAATCTGGATTTGCTTATCTCCCACGGTCTGGTTGGGGTTTTTTTGCATTCTGAGTTTCTCCACACCTCTCTGTCTGATAGCCTTCAGATCCAGTCCCTGTGTGGTCTGTCATTGCCCTGTTGCACACTGAGAGTTATGACTCATGACACCAGCATGTCCACGGGCAGTTCGTTAATGAGTGGCTCATGGAGGCATGGTAGATTTTGTAACTTCTGTGAATAGGAGAGTCTCAGCCCTACTTTACTCCTCTGAAATCAGAGCAGGAAACTAGTACTCCTCCATAACACTGCTGGTCTTGAGTGGATGAAGTGTTCTATGTGTTAAAATCAGCTGTGAACTTGATTAGAGAACCTTTGCAGAACTACATGACTGCCAGCTTTATTTAACTCCTACATTTTCTGGCTTTTCTCTGTTTATAACCTAGTAGTGTCCCTGGCTGCTGGAATGCAACAGCTTTGGCATGTCCCAAGGCAGAAGCATGAGAGGCATTATTTATTCCAGAAACTGCTCATTTAATGGCATTTTCTTTTCTCATGCCCATAGATAATTTGTCTTGATTATATTTATGAGCATGCATTAGTTCTTCTTTTATTAAGTCTTAGGGTTAAAGTCTGATTTCCTAAAGTGTGAAACTTCCAGTGCCTGGTACTGCTTTGACCTTGCACCTGTCTGTTCTACGTATGCAAATTATATTAGTGCTGTATACAAAGGGAACCAGATCTCTTCAGAGGGAAGATGGGCCCACCATAACTATGTGACATTTGTCTGCAACTGTAGACGTCTGAATAAACCTTAGGTGGAAATAAGTCAGCCCAGCCCAAGCAGAAATGGGACTGGCTATGTCTGTGAGGACAAATAAACTTGATGGGAAGAGCTAGCAGTAATTTATCTGAATTTTTGTAATTTAAGTGGTTGAGACTTGAATCGTTTAAAAGGTTAACAAAGTGGTTGACAGGGCACTTCAGTGTATTTGGGACATGGGGGAAAGTAGAAATACTAGTTTTGAAATGTAGCATCCTTTTCAAAATTACCTGTGAGCACACAAGTTTCCTCATTCTTCTGCAATCAAGTTCTTCCTCTGCTGCAATGAAAAGCAGCCTGTGCTTCTCCCTTGTTTCTGGAATGCAGTGGGTGGAAGGTGTCAGAATGGGACTATCTGATGCTCTTTTCCTCTGTCAGTGTAGGTGAAGGTATGCAAGCCAGGGAGAGAAGAAAATGGAAAAAAAATGTGGCTTTGCCAATATGGAGAGTTCTCTTTTAGTAAAAAGCTACACCAGTAAAAATAACCCCATTAGTAATATAACTAAAGTAGCAACTTGAAAAAAACAGTGAAGTATAAAGCTTAGCAAAACCATCCCCTCCTCCCCCGGGTGATGCTATACCACTGTCACATTTTACAGCAGCTGGAGTTGGGAGAACATTCTTAGCTCGATTACCTGAAAAATGTGCCTTACACCTGCTAGAACAGATGGTGGAGAGAACAGGCATAAAAGTCTTATGTCTTTTCCTTGCATTAAAAACTTCTTCTTCAAGGGACTGAAAGTCTTGTTTGAATTCAAAACCAGAATGGTATTTTATGCAGTTGGTGAGGTGGCTGGGTTTGGTCTGTCTCACACACTGATGATTTGTCTTTCTTGGTTTTGTTTGATTTATGGTTTTGTATCATGCAAGAATCTAGTTTCTTTTTTAAAGTTTCTGGAAACTGAAAGCATTCTGTTGTAGATCATTCACTTAGTTTCTCCTACAAAACGGGAAATTAAAAATTATTGTGCTAGGATTAAGGGAAGGGGATTTGAGAATTTTGAACTGTGGCTCATGCAGCATTTTTAGCAGTGCTATGTTGAGTGCTTAGTGTTTTCCTTTACCTTTTTTCACAGCCTAACTGGATGCAACTAAGAGGATCTGTGTTCAGTTTTAATGCTAACCTACCAGTAGCTCTCTGTTGGGTTTTCCTAGAGGTATAGCAAAACAATCAAACTTGAAAGCATAAAACTACAGGGAAAAGCAATATTGAAAATTGTTTCATACAAGTATGGGAAAGTGTGTAAAATAAATTAACAAAGGCTTATTTCTTGCCAGATTTTCCTCTTAAAGAGTAATTGCATGTGCATGCATGTGAGGTTTGTTTGTATTATGAAGATGGCTATATGATTAAACATCCTGTAATATTCTCTTTCATTTTTCTAGGGAGTTTATATGGAAGAAATGATGCGACTGTTCTCAAACTCTGTTACAGACTGATTTCAATGTAAGTAATTTTTTGATCAGTTTCATCAGTTACATGGTGTGCCAGACACAGATTTACATACTCAGTGAAAAGAAAAATAAACGACATGTTTGTAAAATTTCCCTGAAGTTTCTCATAGAGTTTTTGTTTGTTTTTATATGCCAGGTCAGAAACCCCTCCTTCTCTGTGTTCAAACTTGTTAGTTACTCATCCTGAGTGCAAGCTTACACATGCTTCAGATTGCCTTTTTTTTTTTTTTGTTAGCCACTCTTTAGCAGAGGCCACTTGCAGGAGAACCAGTCACATGAGCTGTTGAGGATTTTCCTATACAGCACCTATTTCTACCAGCTTAATTCTAATGTGTTTCTTTTGCTCATGTTTCAGTGTTGCACCATTTTTTGTTGAGTAACAGAAGTTCTACTTCTCATTGATCAATGTGACAGTGTTCAGTAGTTTACGAGATGAGCCAAACTCGTGGGAAGTATGACTTCTGTATTGGTCTGGTGTTGGCTATGAGTTCCAGCATTTTCATTGGAGGAAGTTTTATCCTGAAAAAGAAAGGTCTCCTCCGGTTAGCCAGGAAGGGCTCCATGAGAGCAGGTAAATACATCTTTTAATAAATTGCCAATGTTTAGATTTTGCTGTTTAACAGAAGATTACTTTTGTTCATTAGTTCATTAAACTAATGATCTTGTTTTGACTTTTTTTGGTTTTTGTTATATCTAGATGAAACCTAAACATGGAGCTGGTGTGGTTTTTTTCTCTGGTGTCAGATACCCTTAACTCTGTGTGTGACACATGCTATTTAATGCATATGTAATGCCCTCTGGGGACACTTGTCAAAGGATTCCTTTGTATGTCAGTTAAGTCTAAATTGTACTTGCAAATTGAACTTGCAAGCAGCACTCCTTAACTATGTCTATGCTCCTGAATGAGTGAATTTAAGAGTGTTAACCATGTTTAGGTGTCAGGAGATTGTTTTAGAAAACTAAAAATCACGTGTAGTAACTGAGTGTGATGAGTAGTGTGCCTCAAGGATTCATACTAGAAGCAATGCAATTAAATATCCTCATCAGTGATACAGAAAGTGGGATTGACTGAGTGATGGCAGCAGGGTTGTGGATCACACCCACCTGAGGGGGGCAGTTCCTGCTCTAGAGGAAAGGAAGTGGCATCCAGAGGGACCAGGATGGGCTAGAGGAGTGTGTCTGTACAAACCTCATGAGGTTCAACAAGAACCAGAGCTGCACCTGTGTCAGGGCAACACTCTGGTATCAACACAAGGCTGGGGGATGGACAGATGGAGAGCAGCCCTGCCCAGAAGCGTTGGGGATGCTGGTGCATGAGAGGCTGGACATGACCCAGCAGTGTGCACTCACAGCCCAGAAAGCCAAACGTGTCCAAATCAGGTATGACCAGCAGGGCAAGGGAGGGGATTCTGCCCCTCTGCTCTGCTCTGGTGAGACCCCACCTGCAGTGCTGCATCCAGCTCTGGGGTCCCCAGCATGGAAATGACATGGACCTGTTGGAGCAGTCTCGACAAGGGCCATGAAAATGATCAGAGGAACAGAACACTTGTATTGAGGACAGGCTGACAGAGTTGTGATTGTTCAGCCTAAAGAAAGGGGTCTTGGGACACCTTATAGCACCTTCCAGTACCTAAATGGGGCTTTTAAAAAAGAGAGGTTTGTTTTGGTTTTTTTTCCAGGGCCTGTATTGACAGGACAAGGGGCAGTGGTTTTAAATTGAAAGAAGATAGATTTAGGTAGGATAGTTGCAGCATCCTCAGATGATTCAGAAGGTTGATTCTGAATATTTTTATTCAGTACCTGTCATCTTTACTTCTAAAGTATGGTTGATCTTGAGATACATAATTCATGCACCTTGCTTTGGAATGAGAAAATGTGATGTTTGCACATGTAATCAACCACATAAAGACCATGCACAATTTCTGCAGAGCAGCAGTCCTAGTAAGAGACACATAACCTGGCTTTTCATGTAATTTCAGTGATTTGAAAGAACTCTTTCTTAGGCTAATGCAGATATGATCATCAGTGCCATTTCTAACACAAAAGAAATAAAATAATTGGTTATCAAAGTAGGTCGTAGGAGGCACAGGCACATCAGAAATTGAAGATACTTGAATTTCAACCCTTCTACCTAGAGAACCTAGGTATCAAAACGCTGCTCATGTTTTTAAGAGCATAAGTTGCAAAAATTATTTTATATCATGGCAGTGTTATTAGTGACAGGGTGATGATGTTTTTAGTGGAATAGCTAATGTTCTTTCAATTTTAGGTCAAGGTGGTCATGCATACCTTAAGGAATGGCTGTGGTGGGCTGGACTTCTTTCAAGTAAGTATTCAAAAGTTATTCATCTAAGTGTCAAAAATACAATCTGCATTATATAATTTCAATAAATAACTATGCCACAGATGGCAGCATGGTTACAAAAAAGGGAACAAGATTGGGATTCTACAATACATGGTAACATTACCTGGAGATTTGTCGGATGCAGTTCTCATGATTTTAATATAACTTCTTTCACACCAGAAGTTCTTCCTTTAATGTAACTGTCCTCTTTGTGCAGTGGAACTAGGCAGACATTGGTTTTGTATGTCTTTGCTACCCATATACATTCTGGTTTTTGTCTTAGCAGAGAAGTGCTTAGATACATAGGATTTCTTAAAGGGAAGCATATTTTGGGATTATGCCTGTTTTCTGATTTTTTTTTTCCATTGCTTGAACTCTCAACTTACTGTCTGTATTCAGGTAACTGTGGCTTACTGTTTGTGCTGTGCTATATTCTGCTATTGCAGATTTCTCCATGCAGAACTTCATGAGTCAAGCTGGCAGGCTGGGGAGCTAGAGCACAGACACTAAAATAAAATACCTTCTGATTTGGTAGAATTTCTAATACCTGTTGTAGTTCCACAGCCTGCTTTTAAAATTTAGTAGTGGGGAAGAGGGGCAGGGGTGTGTTCTGGTAGTACTGTTAGCTGAACACTATCATTAGAATTTTCCATTGTTCCCTTGCTGCATATTTGTGTCTGCATGAACACTTACCCTGAATCAGAGGTTTGTTGCACGAAACAGCCTAACCCCTGGGTTTTAATTCCTGTTCCTCTGCAGTGGGAGCTGGAGAAGTAGCGAACTTTGCTGCCTATGCTTTTGCACCAGCTACGTTAGTGACTCCTCTAGGAGCTCTCAGTGTTCTTGTAAGGTAAGAAACACTAACAGAAAGCAGTGTGACTTGAGAGAGAAAAGTAAAACATTTCTTTAGAAATCTGTCACTGAGCTATGCTGTAATAAATGGGCTTTGTTCTTCACAATAGAGTGCTTATAAACATCAGGAGTAACTTTTAATTTTCTCCAAATATGTAATGGCTATGATATAAAAGGGTTTTAGAAATGCATCTACATGTCTATCTCTGAAAAGCTATTGTCTTCTGCATTTCAAAAACATGGTGGTCACAGCAGAAGAGTATTTTCATTCCTAAGTAAAGATTTTTGTCTTTCTAAAATTATTTTTGCAAGTTCTTAGATATAGCATTTCTTTGACAGGCAGCATAAAAAAGGGGTTCTGGGCAGAGATGCCAAATATTAACAGGTAGTTCTGTCCACAGCAAGCATCTCAAGATAGAAAATAGCTATTTTTAAGCTGCAGATTGTGTATGCAAGTGACTTGTACAGTCAAAACGACTGTAACTTGATAAGCAAATGAATATTACTAATCTCATGTTTGTTGGTGCCTTTTTTATTTCTTAGTGCCATTCTGTCATCCTTCTTTTTAAATGAAAAACTTAATTTACATGGAAAAATAGGATGTTTGTTAAGTATACTGGGATCAACTATGATGGTAATTCATGCTCCACAAGAGGAAGAAGTAGAAACTTTGGATGAAATGTCTCACAAACTAGGTGATCCAGGTAAGAAATATGCTGGCTTGATATGTACACAGCCCACCATTTCTTCATTTTATAGTTTCATTACTGCTACTTTCAAGTTCCAGTAAGATGGCATGTGTCTGCTTCATGTAGACATGTTGTCCAAATTAAGTAGAGATTTGAATTCTGTAACATAATTCCATAGGGAACCTTGCATGATGCCAATGAACTTGTTTGGCCTCGAATAAAGTGCCTTGATGGCAACCACCAAGGTGACTTTGTTTAAACAAATTCAGCAGCACAGGTGGATAAACAAAACTTCTATAAATTTTGATTGAAGTGTGTAATTTCTAAGTGCAACTTTGAGCTGTCCTTAAAATGAAAAGATAGGTGTTGTGATGTCTGCTGAGAAGTAAAGTCCTGCAGATGAGCTGGTATGCCTGTGTGGAAGGTGAGGCACTTACAAATGCACATCTGCAAAATACTATTTATACAAAGGCAATTCTCATCTTAAAGGTAAGGAAATAGCCAGCAGAGAGATTAAGAAGCTGTTCTTCAGGAATAAACTGATCATTAGAAACCTGCTAATGACTACAGCCATCTGCCAAAACTTATCTCCTAAAAAAGACTCAGTTCAGACTCAGGCCTGTGTCCAGTGGCAGCTACACCTCAGTGAGTCTGGGTGTAAGGCAGTTTAGCAATCTAATCCTGTAGTAGTCTTGCCAATAGACTGGTGAAGGTAATACAGCATGCCTGAGGTACATCCTTTGCTTTGGTTAGCTCACTCTAAAATCATCTAAATTGTGATGTTGGAAGAATAATGGGAAACATCCTGAACTCTTCTGTTTAAGCTGAGTCGGTGCCATTGTTAATAAAAGTGTTTTCCCTGCACCCCTAAGATAAATACCTCTGCCTCTGATAAATAGAGTTTACAAGTAACAAGTGTGTCCATAAATAACAAGTTGTTTTTTTTCCCAACCACAGGTTTTGTGGTCTTCGCAACGCTCGTTGTCATTGTGTCTTTAATTCTCATATGTGTGGTGGGACCTCGCCATGGACAGACCAACATTCTCGTGTACATAACAATTTGCTCTGTAATTGGAGCCTTATCAGTCTCCTGTGTCAAAGGTCTGGGCATCACTATAAAGGAACTTTTTGCAGGAAAACCAGTGCTGAAACATCCCTTGTCTTGGATTCTGCTGCTAAGCCTTACTGTCTGTGTGAGCACGCAGATCAACTATTTAAACAGGGCTCTGGATATATTCAACACTTCAATAGTGACTCCAATATATTATGTAATCTTTACAACATCTGTTTTAACTTGTTCTGCCATCCTTTTCAAGGAATGGCAACACATGGCGGCTGATGACATTATCGGCACCTTCAGTGGCTTCCTGACTATTATCGTGGGGATCTTTTTATTGCATGCCTTCAAAGATGTTAATTTCACCCTAGCAAACCTGCCCCTCTCTCTTCGGAAGGATGATAGAGCAGCAAATGGCACTTTGCTGAGTGCATACAACAGCTTTAATGATGATGAAGAAAGTTCTGCCTGCCTAGGTGAAATGCAATCCACTGAGAGTCTGTCAGCCAGGAGAAATGGAAGCCTGTCAGCCTTCTGAAAATGTCTACGTGTTACTTAAAAAAGAACAATTCTGTAACCCTGGAATTTTTTTTCTGCTGTGAAATGTCTGAGCTTGTCTGGAAATTCATGTACTTTTTAACAGTATGTGTAGACAATCGTTGATTTTTTGAGTTTGATTAGTTTGGATAAAGAACACTGAAATGTTTATTTGCCTTATTTTTACTTTAAAAAGTACTAAACTGACCTCAGACCACAACTGGTTTTGTTGCTTAAGTTATGTGTAAATACTTTCATTTCATTCTTCTGTTTTTAAGATGTATTGCACTAATTACAATTTTATCAAAAATAAATGGCTTTATTTCTGCATTGGTGGTAAAAAGGTTGCAGCAAACCTGGATCCTTTGTACTTGTGCCCTGACTGACCAAGGAGTGACTGTAACCATATTGAAACAGGAACTGCAGCACCTACTCTTGTCCTAGTTTGTAAAAGAGAAAAGAGAAGGCTACAGCCAAGCACAACTGATCCTTTGAAAATACTGGTTAGGTAAAGCTGTATACGAAACTTGCTGGATTTGCATCAAAAAACCCCAACATTACCAAATCAGAGTAACTGGCTGGCAGAAACAGGAAGGCAGGAGTTCGTGCTCTGTGTGGCTAGGGGAGATGGTAGCTCCTGCCACGACAATTTATGCAGAAGGAAGGATCTGAATCATTACTAGTAGCCAAAGAAGCTGTTTCCTCTTCTGTAACAAAGGTCAGGTTGTGTCTGGGCTGCACCATGCTCTGGGGCTGCAGACCTGTTCCATGTTCTGATGTTAGAGCTTAAACTCACAGAATTGCTAGATTGTTCACAGCAGCACAGGCACTGGCTGCCACACTGAGTATTTCAAAAAGAGCCAAAATAAAAATAAAATTAATGACATTGCTTAAAAAAAATAAAAAGGAGGCATGAGGCAAGTAGGTGGTAATTCACTTTTGTAAAGGCAGAAAATAAAAACTAGAGAAGAAGGTTTTATAAGAACTTTCTACCATGCAGATGGAAGTTGGAAATGAAATACTTGGGACAGAGACTGCTGGATGTTGTCAGGCTTAGTGCTTAATTTCTCTTAAAACACTAAGATTTTTCCTAGGACAGAAAAAAATCCCCAAGTTAGCATCTGTGAAAACAGAATTCTGCTGCCTTCCTTTGGTATGTGTCATAACATACAGGAGGAGTTGAAGGTGTCAAACAAGAAAAAAGGTTTTTGATAAGAAGTAATTGGAAATGAAAAAGTTACACCTTTTGTGCATTTTTCTTTTTAGGTAGGAAAGGCAAAGAATATTTAGCTCCTATCAAGTCTATAATCCTTTTTTAAAAAATAATAAAAATTTACATTATGAAAATGGGAAACTAATATTTCCTAATAGAGACTGATGTCTGAATTGTCTTAAACTTTTTTCCCCTCAGTGATCATGAAGTATGTATTTAATAGTAGTTTTAAGATGTTAAGAGACCAATTCTCTTACTGCTGAAAGTTAACTGGTAAGAATTAGAAATTATTCACATTATGATTAGTTATTTTTAAATAGTTCTTAAACAAAAAATCAGGCTTTATTAAAATTAACTGTTTCTGCACGAGTGCCTAGCCAAAGCATCAGGCATGGGAGATTTCCTTAAACCAATGATGTCAGCAAATTAGGAAAGTTGTTCATTTGCTTAACTAAAGCTGGAAGCACAGGGAAGCAGCTGGCTGACCAAAAGTCTTCTGCAAACTAAAAGACTGTTTCTCAAAGAAAATCATCTGTTAAACACCTTGTAAAAGAAATCCTAAAACAAGCTGGTGTAACAAAGCACAAGTGCTTCTGACTTCTGTCTCCCACACACCGGGCAGCCTTGTGTGCACTCTGACCACGACAGACACCACTCCGGAATGGCACCTCTCAAGCACAGACGTCCTAGGAAAACCTGTGATTGTGGAAACTTGCTGATAGATTGCCTGGAAAATCTCCATCCTGTTTTGCTGAGGAAATTTCAGTTAATTTCTTTCCTCAAAATCTAGTTCTCTGCCACTCCAATACCTACATATTCCTCGCTTCTTGTGTACCTCTTCTGTCAGATGCTCATTTCTACCCACTATTAGAGTCAATTCCATGGCTGGGAAGCACCTGGAAAGAGCTGAGCAGGAGAAAAGATGTGCTGTAACATAACCGTGAACTTGTAAGAGGGAAGGAAGAAAAAGAGGTTCTCAAAGGGATGCATTCTTGGCTTCACATTATAGGTTAGAAACACTAACCAAGTAACATCTCCATAAATCCATGCCCTGGATAAAACATGCAATTATGTATCTGTGTCTGTTCTGGCCATTTTAACATCTTGGTTAGCGTTGATCCCAAAGCCAGCTGACAAACTCTGATAGGATCCTGGAGTAAGCAAGCAGGAGTTACTACTTTTGGCTTACTGGTTTGCTTTAAAATTCAACTTCTACAGTTGCAAAGTTTTACAATTTTACTGATGCAGTGTTTGCATTATACAGCAAGTGTAATTTAACAAATGCTTTCCATAATAAATTATGATTCACATCATTAGAGTTTATGTACTGGGATAGATTACACCTGATCACTGTAGTCAAGATTCTCATAAACAATAATTCCTCATCACTTGTAAACGTGTTTGGGTACACAGGTATGTATTGCAAACCAAAATATAAACTGTGTTAGAAGCTCTCATTAGGAAAAAGTAAACAGTCCCCATTCTAACCAATAAAATTTTCACCTTTTAAAAAGATCAGAATCCTATCAGTCACCTCCATGTTAAATAATTTTATAACAAACACTTTAAATAGCCTTCAGTTCCATTATTACTGATCTCTGAGAATAGTTTTGCAAAGGGGGAGAAGAATCAGCTGACTAGAAAACTATTCACAAAGCACCAGCAGAGTTTGTTTTGTTTTGTTGTTTTCTCTCTTTTTTTTAATAAAGGCAAATTAAGCAATTAAGGCTCTAATACAAACAATTATGCATTGATTTCTAAAAATTTTTTCTACAGAACCGTTTTTTACCCTCCACAGCCATTATTTCTATAGCTTCAGGGGAAAATTATACCAGTCCAGTCTAAAATGGCCACCTCGGGACAGGAATGCAAAGAGATTTCAAAAATCTTACAGGTTTTTAATCAAAGTGTATAAAATTTTAGTCTAGAAAAATAAGTATGGATTGTATACAGTTACTGTGCTTGGAGACTGGAGAGAAGAGTGTGCCACTCAAATGGCACAGGCATACTGAAAAATGCAGATGAGAGTATTCTTTAAAACTGTTGGTGTGGGTTTTGTTTCTTGCTTTTTTCCCTCACACTTTTAGCCTAAAGAGGTGCAAAAAGTATTGTTAGGTGAGAATCTAGTTGCTGGCAAGGGACTGATGAATTGGTGGCTGGAAGCAGCGCACGTGTTCCACGGGTGTGCTCTCTCCATCACCGGACTTCAAATATTTGTCCAAAATAGCAATTATTTCATCATTCAGAATCTGGAACTTGCGAATTCTCTCAACCATTTTCTTCAAAGGCTGCAAACATCAAAAGAACAGACACAGGAATTAGCTTTGGATATAAAAAGCCTTAGCCAGAAAAGCAGTAAATGCTGTTACCTCACATCTCCTGGCAATGTTACGAATGTTTCCCTTGCACTGGTAAGCCAGTGAAAATACAAGGTGCATTTTGTTTTTTGACAGTGCTGCTTTGGGTACAAAGAACCTCAATTTACAGCAGCCTTGTCATTTTGGGAATGAACATATATAAGATGGAAGGCATTAAGAAAATCTCATATATTTGTGACATCAGAATTCTGCTTGACCGGTCTTCTAACTCCAGCCTTAATCTTTTGTTTCTGAAAATCCTGGTACCCTCATTTTCAGCAATTCATTCTAAAAAAAGTATTGCTACATCTATGCTGCATCTGAGCACAAACAGCTCTGAGTTGTTTTCTTTATTATTACAGCGAATATAGATGTTTCCAACTCACCACATTCTTGATAACTTCATCTTTGCCATCGTGCTTTTGGACTTTCAACAGGTGGTAGCAGAAATCCAACACATCAAAGCGCCGCTGCTGTCCCAGAAGCACGATGATCATACAGCCAGCCCAGTGCAAGCCGTCCCCAAAGCACTGCCTGGAAGAGGAGACACACCACAGAGCAAGTTTCAACTACATCTTCAAAACACAGTCACAGCAAACACTTGGTAATCAGCCACAACGCTAAATAATAAATACATTAGACATTCATCTAAAAGCAAAAGCTTTGGGCTATTGATTATCATTGGAGATATCACAAGCAATTCATATAGATGCTTGACAAAAAAATAGAACTCCCCCTCCTCCTTTAATTTCACATAACAGAGTTACTCAAAAAACATTTACTCCCCATTGGATTCCTGTGGCATTACATTTCATTTTCAGTGGAAACGATGCTTGCAAAGAAAACAAAGTGGGAATTCAACACTACTCTGCTTCTTTAGGCTGCAGGCATGAAAGGAAGCAAATGTCCTATGCTGTTGCTCATAAAAAGCATGTTACAGCTCAACAATTTCTCAAAATAATGATATTCTCAAAACCAAGAGCAAACAACAGTTCCTGGTCAACTCATGTTAGTCATGTTAAATTCCAAGTACTCATTCCTGCTCTTAATTCAGAGAATAAATACTTGTTAAAGTTAGATGCACAAATATTGTGCTATTTTATTTAAGCTGGGTGTCCATAGGGGTACGACCCCTATTGAAAGACACGTGCTAGGGCCTGTTTGTCACAGAATCACTCATTATACACTGGCAATACTTAAAATAGAGGGTTATTTTCACTACAGATACAATAGTATCTGTGTTGGTGGATGATGAGCCCCTGGCAGTGACGGCAGCACTTCTCCCTGGTTTTGCACTAAGCTCTTGCAGACGGGCACACGAACGCCTCCGTTCCAGCCCCGCTGCCAGGACGGGACAAGCCGAGCACTGTTGCCCACAGGGGCGCTGCGGGCAGCTGGCAGCACGTACTCCACAGTGAACTCGTGTGTTCCCACGGGGATGCAGTAGACGAACTGCATGGCGCTCCACAGGCGATGGAATTCCACACACTCATCCACGTGCATCACGCCGTTGCTGGGCAGGGGTCCGCGCCAGATGGGATCGTCCAGGAAGGAGCGGATCCTCGTCAGGATAACCTCAAACATGGACAGGCCGCAGCAGAGGCGTTCTTTGGTCAGCAAGTCCCCTTCCCTTGCGATTGCTATTTGCTGAAGTGGAGAGAAACAAAGCATAAAATCCTGGTAAAAGCCACTTCACCATAAAATCTTATTTTAAAAAATAGATACAATACGTTTTTCAGTTTCACATGGTTTATTCTAGGAGAAATGTCTTCT